GGAGAAGATTTTCTCTCTCAATCCTCAAAAGATGGTCCAATCCTTCTCTACCTTCTTGTTGATCTAGAACCAGTAATCTAGCTTCGGCCTCCTTTAAGTGTAACTCTACTTCCCCGAATTCTTCTTTGCTCCAATATTTCAATTTCAATTTTATCAATTTTAACCTCGTCATGAATTTGTATCCTCCCATCCTGATATCTGGTCCTCACCCCACCACAACTTAATATTCCTCTTAAAGTCCAGGTGATTCAGCCACATGTTTTCGAACCGGAAAGGCGAAGGACCCCACTTTACCTTAGAAGTGTCCAGCTCTATAGGGCAGTGGTCGGATGTGACTCGTGGCAAGGCTTTGTGGTGGTAATGAGGAAAATATCTTCCCAACTGCCCGACACCAGAAATCTGTCAAGTCTTCTGCAGATTGCGTTCTCTATTTGTATCTTGGATAAAATCATTAAATTCTCGCATGCTTTTTAGTCACTCTTCCACCATTTGACTTTTCAGCTGTGAAGCGGACCACATTAAAATCACCTCCGAGACACCACTTGTCGCTGCAATACCCGTACAGATCTGCCAATTCTTCCCAAAAACTATTTCTTTCCCTTTGTCTGCATGGATCATAAACCCCGGATAGCCACCATTCCGTCCCTATACTCTCAACAATTTTAATAGATACCGAGAATTCACCAATCATAGAATCAATTACCGAAACAGATTGGGAATTCCACATAACTGCTATACCACCAGACCTTCCCATGGAAGGAGAGAAAACCCACTCCTTGAATCTTGACCCCCAAACACTTGCCACCAATTGTCTGTTGCGTCGATTCAGCAACACCAAAATGGATTCAGCTGCATCCTCAACTTGTGATACTCGCAAGTGCACGAGCCGTTTGGGAGTATAACATATGTAAGTGCGAGGTCGATCCCACGAGGATTGGTGATTGAATGATCCAATTCATTTCCCCTACACAAAACAGAAATGAAAAAAAGAAAATAAATAAAACAAGAAAAAAGGAAATAACTCAAGAAAATAAGTTCCCAAGTTCAATTAGATTAACGGATTGATTCTAGCTAAAGTATGATTAAGCCATGGTGTTTGGTCCTAACCTTGTGTTCCTAATTCCCTAATTTGATCATTTGTTGTCTAACCTAAAATTAAGCATTAGGAACCCATTAAGCATAGAAGAACAATTTAAACAACCAAGCATGTATCTAATCCCTGTTGTCGAATGTCCATACATACTCTTCCTATTCATAGTTCAATTCGAATTAAAGCATGGTGT